GTCACCATGTCATATTTGCATGTCTTGTCTCTCATAATTCAAATGCTCGTAAAAATCACGATTGTTGCATATAGATAGCCAAATATGTGTGTCATATAGGGTTGACTTAGTTGGTGTTGTTTTCCATACTATAGGTTTCATCAAAAGTGTCGTAAAGCATGAAAATAAGCATTTTTGTTTGTTTCAGGGTTTTGAGTCAACCAAAAACCTGCTCCGGTCGACTCACACTGCAAGTCTTTTTAGTGCATTAGTTTCAGGAGGGCTCGCGTCGACCCTCTAGTCGACTCATACTGTAAGCATTTTTGTTTGGCTAAAAGTGCATGCTATGCGTCGACGCATGCTATGCTCTGGTCGACGCATGGTCTTATTTTTTTGCACAATCTTGCGTTTGGGTCTGCTCAGGTCGACCCCCTCTACTGCATAGGTCGATCGCTTGCTGTTTTGTGTCAAAATTTTGTTATGTCAACTGTCTTTGTGAATTGGTTTTGTTTGTTATGTCAGTTATGTTTGGTATATAAGTTGAGTTGCTCTTTCATTTCAGAACATCTAAGAAAATAAGAAAAGTGAAATTACGTGTCGATTTGGTTCTCATCATCTTCATTCTCTTCATAGCATTTCACAATAATTACACATAATCATCTTTGTTGTGCATTGTGCATGCTCGAGGTGATAACGTCCAAAGCCGAAGATTGGTTTATTTGGTTTGGGTTGAGTAATTGACAGGTTTTTCTTGAATAAAACCGTTATGATTTTCCCCTCCAAGAATCTCAGATTTTGGGGGTTTTTTTGTATGATTCGTTCCATCACATATTCAGCCGAGTGAAGGTAATCGAAGAGCTGGAGGTTCTGTCGATTTAGTAATGGTAAACGGAGGATTGTGAGCGGGAGATTCGGGTTCGACACGCGGGTGACTGAAATCAGCCGAGCCAGATTTTGAAGACCGAGGGTTGTTCAAAGAGAGTGCTGCAATCAGAGGTTTATTCATATCGTTCAAAGTACTTGATTCAACTTGAATCAAGAGGAAAGAAGAAATAGGATCTACAACAACAATTGTGTTCATTTTTTTGATAGCTATTCGCTTCTTGTATAAATATTAACCAACAGGTTATATCTATCTATTTACAGGTCTCAATTCTATTGTTAGAGTTGAAGACAGACGTACCCCGAGCGAGGACGACAGGGGAACTGCCTCAACAAATCATTGTGTCTTTTTCTTTACGTTTATATTGATAAATTTATGTGTTTTAGTGCAAACGATTATATCAATCAAGTTATGGTTTGAGCTATGCTGAACTATTTCTAAACCTATTACAATCATTGATTGTAAGAGAGAACTTGAGCACCTAACTCTCAAAACAGAATTCACTTGTAGTGCTCTGCACTCCAAATGTTTGATAAATTGTGTGAACTAAAAACCTTGTATGATGTCTTTTCATATTGTCAATATTTTAAAGGCATTGGAACTAGTCACACCGTATAGTGAGCATAATCAAATTGAAAGTGTGATTGACATAGTGATTCTCATATCTTGTTTATTAGATTCCATAGGCTTAACGCATATTCGGTTTTCTAGTAACCGTTCGTTTTAGACGTGTATAGTTTCTCGGCCGCTTCCGTTATTAAACAAATTTTAAAAACCAATTTTTGGTAGCGCCGACTCTGTTTTTTAAGTAAGTGATCTATTCAATCCCCCTTCTAGATCTGTGCCATCGTCTGACAATTTTCTCATTGCACTACAAGAACATGTAGGCACAGAGGTTTCAATCCTTGGCGAGCACATTAATTAAAAACTTATTTTCCCCTTAATTAAAACCAATTACAAATAACCTTTAGATAATAACACTCATTTATGCATAGAAAAATCAAAACGGTTCTTGTTGAGTACAACGGATGTGAGAGGTTCTAATATCTTCCCCTCGCATAACTCAATCCCTTACCCATTTTTTTTCCTTTTGGGTTTTATCGATATTTTCCCTTTTCTTTTGGAATAAATAAATTCGGTGGCGACTCTGTTATATCATCGAGTGTGCGATACGCTTGAGTATTTTTTGCACTGCGACATAAGGACCAGAGGAAATATGACAAAACTTCTTATAAATTGACTGATAGGGCACATGCTAAATGCTCTGGTGGTGGAGGTGGCAGAGATGATAGAGAGCAGTTGCATCTTAATGTCGATAGAGTAGCCCTCACAAGTTCTCACCGTAAGAAGATCCAGTAGTTTCGATTACATCAAAGTCTGCAATGTAAATGTGGCAGAGCTAGATGGCCCTGATATTTTAATGTAGAGCCTAATGCTTTCGTGTCTGACGATGTAGAGCTTCCTCCTCAGGATGATATCGAGGGTTCTCCTAAGATTGATATCGAGGTTCCTCAAGATGATACGGATGTTCCTGTTGTAGCTGATACATAGGTGGTAGCTCAGACTGATACAAAACCATTTGTACACACAAATGGAGAATTCTCTAAAGGGCCAGTGAACCTACCTTTCTCATTGGGTATACCGATCATTTGGCATTTAGATTTTAGCAGAGAGAGATATATTTATTTTAAGTTGCTTTTTTATTATTTTGATTAATTGAAAATAACTGATGGTTTAAACTTTAGTTGTTACAAAACCATGCTCAGTTGAAGGTGCCTACCCATGAGGTGAAGTTGAAGAAATTATCTGATGCGTAGATGCCTAATGAGGTCAGATAGATTGCCATTAATGTTGACATGCTTCCGTTGGTGGATTGTTCACTCACCATGCTCGACGCTCCATTGTTGTCTGCTTTTTGTTTAGCAATAGTATAAGGAGACATTCTGCTTTTATTTTTCATTTGGTGAGATGACAATTATCATGGATGGTATTTCTTACATCTTCCATCCCCCCTTAATTATAGGTAACCTATTCAACTCTTATGTCATTAACAAGGAACTTGCATGTATTATGGCTGAGTAGTTCCTGAGGGTTACACTGAGGACGGTCATGAAGGAGTTCATGGGCTAACAGGGGTGCTTAATTCCATTTCACTTAGCTAGGGATACGTAACACACACTCGTGAATCACTCTATGTATGAGGTGGACGTTAGGTCATACATGTTGCATCTTGTAAAATGTATTATCTAATAGATAAGTCTCATATATACATTAATACTAAATACATTTCTCTATTTTTTGAGCCTGAGCATCTTGACTAGGCAGATGGTGTGTTGCTTTGACCATATTATATACTCCAATTGGAAAGGCAACTGTCTTTGAGACGATACAACTTTTTGGTTATATAAGTCTATTTTAGATATGAATATTTATTATGTTTTATTTATTTAGTTCTTATTTATCAATAAAATTTCCTGTATGTAATTTCTTCTTCTTGTGCAGTGTTGGATATATGAGTATTTCCCGTCCATTTGTGACAGGCGTGATCATGGTCCTATCACTGATGAATTGCCATGAGCCACCAGATGGAGAGCCAGACATTCTCATCCAAGAGTTTTTTAGAAGTACAGATGAAGGATCAATGCGTTGAGAATACACGATGTCATATGGACACCCTACATAGACCATAAAGTACATCGAGAGTTTGATGACACTGCCTTTTTTTTTTCTTCGGGTTATCTGCGATGGGAGAATTTAGTGGCTAAATATTGACTTGAGAGGTATCTGCGCCAGTTTGAGTATGTTCATGGTATCCCTATATCACTCCATGCTATGATATTAGAGGTCATTAAATAGTACTTGATGATTCAAGACATTTCAACATCTTGATAATATCGTCGACAGATCTCACAACTGTCGCATCCACCTCGATCGGACCATTTGTTTCATATCGGTGATACGTGTTTCACATAACTTTTAAATCTTCATATGTATTCAGCTTAAAGCTACTAAACCTGATCTTCCCCTCATTATTGATCGATGATTATGGTATTCGATCTTAACCACCTTTCTGTTGTCAGTGTGGTGCAAAAGATTATCCAGTTTGATTTCAGAACAACAAAAGGGGTATCCTCTATCGATCGATGATTATGGTATTCGATCTTAACCACCTTTCTGTTATCAGTGTGGTGCAAAAGATTATCCAGTTTGATTTCAGAACAACAAAAGAGGTATCCTCTGTGAGCCTAAAATCAACAATAGGTTTCACGTCATTGAACTTCTAAAATCAACCGTAGGTTTCACGTCATTGAAGTACACAAATGCAAGATACCAAAATTGAGACATTGTAAAGTGTTTTGTTAAAATCATATGGTACATATTTATACAAGTTTTAAATTATTATGGACCACACAAAACTGTCGGTGCAATCACATCCTTACAAACGTGTCAATAAAATCTCAATTGTTGAAAATTAAAACTACTAGGTTTATTAGGTAGTTGAAAAAACTCGAATTCCAAATTTTTTTGAAAAATCTATCAAAATTTGCCACGCACAGAAATTTTTGAAAATGCCGATAAAAATGTATATCGAAATTTTCCTGGTTTTTTCATGTGTGAGAAAAATTTTCAGCTTGTTGTTAATGAACCAAATGAGAAGGTTATTTTATTTGTTACAAAAATTTGGGGGGTGCCAAATAAAACTTAATGGTTGCCATGAAAAAATCTCCAAAACAAGATTCAATATCAAAAACTGACAAAAGATTAACTGAAATGCAGAGCTTAATATGTTGTACAGGCATTTGGTAATTTCCTTTATTTTAATTTGGTCTGTACCACTGATTGTGGAAATATGGATAGGCATTCAAGTAAATGTCAGATGATATGGATCCCATTTGAGCTTATATGACAGATAAGCTTTTGGAAAAACTGAAAGTTCACATTTTGAAGTTCCATGTTTAAATATATGACTTCAAGAGAGAAAATTAATGAAGGCACCCTTCTTAAGAATTGTAAATTACAAATAATAATCTTGATTCTAGACTACATTTTTTGTATAAATAATGGTGGTGCAAGATCAAACTGAATGCAATCTATATAACTTACTGCATCAAAGCTACCCTCATTTCAATTGGGTTCACTATCCCCGAACTGCTGCGGTATGTACTGTTCTCTTTAGCAGAGATATTTTCCAAGGATTTCCGCCTAATTCTTCAAAAACTACTATCAGGTTCTTTGTTGGCTTTAGCCACGACCTTGGAACGTGATACCTGCGACATCATTCAAACAGAAAACAGGTCAAGACGGATCAAGATGGATGGACGGTCCTATAAGGTCGACTTTATATCTTTTATTAGCGAAAAACTGTAGTACCATTGTTGAGTTGGTTGTCCGCAACCAAGTTGGCATTTCGCTGGCTTGAATGTTCCAGAATAGCTGCAAGAACTACAGTCACCCGCTGCATAAGCCATCCAATATCTTCCTATGCTTTGTCCATTGATCCATACTTGGCCCTTGCCCATACTTTCCAGGTCCAAAGCCAACGGTTCGTTTCCCTCGGGTGCGTTAAAATACGCCTGGAGATTTGAAGTTTATTACAAGCTTCTAGATGAAAATCACAACTGATTATGCATAATGCAATAAGCTAGTTACTTTACTGTTGTTACCTTGTGCCATTTTAGTTGTGACCGGCTTCGGATAGCTAGTGAATCTTGGACCCAATCAACAGATGAGACCTCATTCGGCGACGCCAAATTCACAGCCTCTCCTTTAAGGCCAACCTGTTCAAAACATGATTTAATTAAAAAATAATTTCTCTTCACATTGATTGAAGTTTAAGAATGCATAGATCATATTGTTTTTTCTTCTGTGTGCTGCATCAGACCTGATAAGACCATTTATTATGCGTCAAATCTTTCGGTCCATGGTCGAGACCATGTAGCAAAACGGGACCGGTGATTCCTGCCTCCCATGTTTCATAATGCCGACCAGCGTTCTTCAAATATAAAATGTCAAAAGCAAAATCTCAGAAACAAGCAAATGAAAACACCTAATGCTTAAGTTCAAGATTGATTTAGATGCAAGGTATTAAGTACTAACCGGCAATCCAACAGTCACGCTGAGAAGAGCGATTTTATTAGTTCCAGCATGAAGGTTAACTGGCCCATTAAATATGCAACTTCTTTGTTTCCTTGTCCCGAAAGCGGACCCTATAAAAGAAAACAGTCATCTTCACTTAACTCGGAATCAGTAAACAAATAAACCGATTACCGTGTTTTAACTGCATGTCTACATACCTAAAAAATGTCCATTAACATACACATGGACAGCATGTCCTGCAGACTGCACATTAATGCTCGGTTTGTGTCCTCCTCGAAGAAATGATTCTGATGAGCTTATGTCAACACTGCAGCAATGTCAACCAAATAATGTAAGATTCCAAATGCTGAGAACTGCGAATGTTGATCAATAACAAATTCTATGTGTACCATAGAAGACAGATCTTACCTGGTTATGTACCATAGATAATCACTGGTGTCTCTCGTAACATTCAGATGTTCCAAGAGTCCAGTAGCTGTAATCCTTGACCTTTCGTCGAGAGAAGATAGATCTTCATCATAGGTCTCCCAAGAGAATCTAGAATCGACATGAAGCATTTTCACCACTGAAGTTTGAGTTCTCACCTTCATGAAGACATAACAATCCAGTCAAAAACTTGATTGATGCAATTTGGTTGCATTTTATCAACATGACATTAAAAGGTCCTACAAAATATTCTTACTTTTGCGGTATTAAATACGGAAGTTCTGCAATCGGGAAGGATGCTTATGGACCACGGAGGCAAGTCATAGTGCTTATTATTGAAAATTACGGTAGCAGCAGACTTTACATGATAGTTTGCGAGAAAAGCTGCACATCCTGCAGTTCCTGCAGAGAATACATGAGCCTGGAAAATCACCAAGCACATAGAAAGAATAGCGTGATCGTCACCGCAAGATTAGTGTATCAGAAACTTCACATAACTAGAAGAGGGTCAGTTTCTTCATATCAGTGACAATTTACCTGCTGGTATGTTCCTAATGATGTAACAGTAGGGTCCGAAGAAACTAAAGCATGCTCGCATCGCTTGATAGCTTTATGAAGATCCTTCAAGTGACTATATTTTGGTTGCCTAATCAAACCTAATTCATTCATACATGTAAAATAAGGAAGTGCCGATATATTCCAATTATGATACATTATTTCATACTCCATTCAAAAGATCGGTGAATCATGTAGCAAACAACATAATCTAAGAATCTGGTCATAACAAACAAGCATAATTTTCTTACCGTATTCATCGATTGGAGCATCATAGTCGTAGCTTGTAGTAATGAACGGACCCCCAGCTGATCGTCCAAAGTTAGTTCCTCCATGATACTATCAATAATCATTAATCACAAAAGTGAAACTTAGGCTTCAAAGCAAGGCGCCGCATGTTTTGTTGCAACAAAAAAGAAGAACGGAACCTTATGCAATTAGCTAAATAATTCATAGAAGGTGACCAACCATGTAGTAATTCACATATGATCCGCCCTTCTGAATGAAACGAGCAACTGCGAATGCCAGATCTTGAACTGGTCGCTGGTGAATTGGGCCACCAAATTCTGTAAACCTAATGATCACAGGAACGAAGAGAAATAGATCAGAAGAATAAGAGGGTGAAGAAAGTATAAAACTGTATCTAACATCTATAGTCATAGAACAATGTGTATCTTACCAGCCACTCCAAGACTCAGTCCACATGCTAGGCTTATATGGTTTATTAGGAGAGAAATCGTCGCAGTAAAATCCATTACACGAATTAATCTGTCGCGGAGAATCGGATGGATCATATTAAGAGTGATAGTTGAAGCAAATGGTCAATAGAGAACGAGAGGACTCAACTCACCACAGGATCTGGGGCATCAATTTCTTTGCACATCACCCAAGGGACTCCTGTTCCCAATCCAACAGCCATATATGCAGCCCAGTTTAGGTATGCATGACCAGCAGCTCCCATCGCCTTGCTCTCTGGTCCGTACTCGTTCTCAATCTAGAAAGAAATGACTTTTTGACATCAAACTTCTGATATCGAACGCATTTTCTTCAAAATATTCACACATTCAACAAGAACTGCATACCTGAGAAAGAATGATTGGACCACCCTGAGACTGAAACAAGTTTTCACTCTTCATCATTTGAACAATCTTCTGAGTAAAACCTTGCATTGCAGCCTAAAACCAAAAACAAAACGATGTCAATCAGTTTATTGAAGACTCGAGTTAACATAGATAAAATCAAAGAAAGCTCAACCTTGAAAGGCCCATTATCCGTTCTAAAGCTTATACCAGGAACATACTTCAACCAAACAGGAATTCCCCTATACAACCATTAAGAACGAAAATGTTATCGCAATTTAATCTTACACGAAAAAATGAAAGTAACAACATGCATGTACCCGAAGTTCCACTCAGCGCAAACATAAGGTCCAATGCGAAGATTAACATAAAGCCCCACTCTTTGCACTGTCTTAATGAACCTAACTAGATCATATCTTCCTTCAAAATTGTACTGCAATACAACCCATAATCAGAAAAACAAAAACAACACAAAAAATAACATATAAAAGATTCATGAAGAACAAGGGTATTACATTGTGAGGAGATGGTTCATGAACATCCCAAAAGACATAAGTGTCAATAACATCAAGACCACCATGTTTCGCCTTCCGAATTAGATCTTCCCACATCTAAAAATCACACATTTGAAACAAATTACACATAAGAACTTGAAATGTAAATGCAAATGAGTGAAAACACAGTACCTCAGGGGTGCTCCTAGGATAGTGAATGGAACCAGAAATTAAGATTTTTCTTTGGCCATTAATGAGAAGAGACTTTCTATCATAAGTAACATTGCAATCACAATCCAAAAACAAAACAAAGAATGTAATTACTAGAAGTAGCTTTGAAACTGAAGTAGAGTCCATTTTTTTTGAAAGAAGAAGAAGTAGAATAGTGAGTGAATGAGTATGGAGCAGTGAGTATTATGATGCTACAGCTACTAAGTTATTAACTGCTTTTCCATTTACAAACCACACATGATCTTTACTTTTGATGTCAGAAGATACCTTATTTAATTGTTTATGTCAGTTTAGCTGTATTTATTGTAGGAGAATTGAAATGGAAAAAAATGAAATTTGTTATTTAGAGAGAACCGTTGGGTTTGCTAATGATGTTTTTTTGTTGACGGATTGGGTTTGTTAATGGTACAAAATGACGTTGCTACTTATTTAAGATTCAAGAACATCATCATTCTTTCCAAATCTTATTCACTTTAAGGATTTTTTTCGGTTAAACATTTGTTTCCTTTATTATATAGCTCATTATTTAGTTCAATTATTATTATTATTATTATTATTATTTTGTTTTCTCAACCATAACTCCATATATATATATATATATATATATATATATATATATATATATATATATATATATATATATATATATATATATATATATATATATATATATATATATATATATATATATATATATATATATATATATATATATATATATATACACACACACACATGCATGAGTATCGTACATTCATCTGCACTTTAACATGGACAACCCCTTTCTCTCTTGTGTATGGTATGGAAGTAGTGCTCCCGATAGAAATTGAAATTCCTTCTATAAGAGTTTTGATGGAAGCTTAATTGTCTGAGGCTGAATGGTGTCAGAGCATATATGATCAGTTGAATCTGATTGAAGAGAAAAGAATGATGGCCTTGTGTCATGGCCAATAGTATCAATAGAGAATGGAGAAAGTTTTTGACAAGAAGGTTCGATCTCGTGTGTTTAGAGAAGGCGAACTCGTACTAAAAAAGATCTCGACTTTTACCACTAATTTTAGGGGCAAGTGAACTCCTAATTATGAAGGCTCATATGTTGTTAAGAGAGTTTTGTCTGGCGGTGCATTAATTCTTACAACTATGGATGGTGAAGAGTTCACTCGTCTTGTGAATGTCGATGCAGTCAAGAAATACTTCGCCTAAAAAAATAAATAAATGAACAGCTTCCTAAGTTGAAAACCCGAAATGGCGACTTAGGAAAAAATGAACGTCTTGGTGGATTGAAAATCTGAAGGGGCAATCTAGGTAAAAGTTAGGGATTATGGCAAGTAACTGCATTCAGCCAGTTTTGATCACTTGAAGCAACACTTCCTGTCAACGGTCTCTTTCAACCATTCTCAACGGAAGTTTTAAACAAAGTGGAATTCAGAGTTGTTAGGGTGAATAGTGGTTATTGTATTTCAATGTAACATTTTCCATGTATTTACCATTTTTCAAACTTTGTAATGATCCATGGAGTTATGTCATTTGCAGACTACCATTCTATTAATAAAATTTGGGCCTTTGTCCCTTTATTTGCAATTCTTATTTTGTTTCTGTTTGCAAAATTTCATTTATTTTTTAGGATGATTTTTGAAATAAAATGTGAATAATTGATTGAAATTTTGAAAAAAATTATAAAAACATTTTTCTTTGATTTGTGAATATAAAAAAGGAATGTCAATGGTTATTCCAAGAACGGTAAAATTGCGAAACACAAAGTTTAGTGTTTTCCTCAACAGGGTTCATTCTTATTCTTCCCAGTAAAATATGTTGATAATTCCTCAACAAAGTTTGTAACCAGGTTTCCTCCTTTAGTAGTTAACTAGGTGGTGGGTTTCCTCAAGATTTGTTACGATGTGATGGAATCCAATATTCTTCAGTTGAATACCAGTTTGGATTTTCTCCAGATGAGTACTGTTTGGTTTTTCCTAGCTAAGTTGTGATTTGGATCTTCCCCATGTTGCGGTGAGAATCGTGATACCAAGCTACTGATTAACTTGAATCTTAATTCTTTGAATTCACATCGTAAACATCTATAATACTCTACAAGAACCTTTTGTTTGTTTGTATGCTAAGTTTGCTAAATGTTTGCTATGGCTTAAGATTGGGTATAAGGTTAGGTAAAGACCTAAGGATAGTTTCTAAATTTGCTCGCAAAGGTATTGCATCCTCTGCCTACGTATCCTAACTAGGATAGAATCAAAGCAACCGTAGTTCACCTCACTGAGGATAAGAAGAACACTTGATTATGATCAAGGTTCAAAGGGGAACAAATATGACAATGTTTGTGTAGAGTTTTACAAAACTCTCTAATCTAAGTTATACACTCAAAAGGATTGACTTTTACAAAAGCCAAAAGGGAAATAAGTAATCATGACAATGATTCCTACATAGAGTTAACAAACTCTATCTTAAAGTTCTAATTGAAAGATATTCCTAACAAGGGGTAGGTGTTTTAGACTTAAAGCAAAGTCTAATGGCTAGTGGGTTCTAACTAAGCTATGGTAGGGTTCAACACGACTTAACAAAGTCAGAGAGAGGGTAATGAGCTATCTATGACTCAAGGGTCAATAGAGAGACTTTTCTTTGGAAGGGGAAAAGAATGAGGCAACTGGATGAGAGCTAACAAGCTACATCACTTGGGAAATAACTTAACAAAGTTAAAACATACATATAAGCATTCATTCAAACATGATGAAGTTCCAAAAGAGTATGGTAACAACCAAGGATGAGATACAAGCATGTGACAACATCAAGCAAAGATTACAATCAAGTCAAATGGTTACAACTAATAATGCACAAAGATATTACAATATCTAGAAGGAACATGATATAGGTTCTTACAAAACCAATCATATAAGGCAAGATCAATTTTAAGCATCTTAGCAAAGATGAAAAGAAAATGAGGTAACAACCATCAAGGCAAACAACAACATGTAATTCAAACAAGTTTTAATGCAAACAAGTTACAACTTGAGGCAAACATATAAAGATCAAAGAATGTCAAATGTAACAACATAAGACCAACAATCATGCATTGATGACAATCAAGTACAAGAACACAAGAAATGTTACAACAGTTCAAGTATAAGTTTATGATTTCATGGGGAAAAGTAAGCAAGTTTCATGGTAACAACCAAGTCAACAATCACACCCTAGTATGTTATGGTTCTAACAAGACACATAAACAAGTAGAATGAGACATGAAAAACATATCCAAGAGGTTACAACATCAAGAATCATGTTATGAATCACAAAGAAGTTCAAAGTATACCATTCACATTCAAGCATTCACAAAGGCAGGAAACAAACTATAAACATATTATGGTTCTAACAAGACACATAAACAAGTATAATGAGGTATGGTAAATACACTCAAGAGGTTACAACATCAACAATTATGACAAAGTTCACAGATGAAGTTTTAAAAGTTCATGATTCATGTATACATTCACAAAAGCAAGTATGAACATGGTAAGACAATGAATAAAACAAACTTGATTACTTAAAAATGTTAAAAAAACATATGTGAATCATACAAGATCAAAATCATAAGAAAAATCAAGCTTCAAGTTGAAAAAGTTTACAAACATCACGGTGAAACCCTAAAAAACACATGTTTTTCAAGTGAATCAAAGTCTTTCTAGGATAATGATCCTTGAATTACTTCTTCACTCAATGAACTTAGACATGATAAAGAGTATTTTTAAAAATGAATGGCATCAATAGCATAAAAAATGAGCAAGTTATGATCATTCAAAGTTGGTGCACCAATGGGGACAAAACTAGGGCAAAGCAAGATCACCAATTTTAGGTCATTTGCATGAAGGATGGAAATCAATCAATTCTTAACCAAATGGAGTGAAACAAAAGTGAAAATTATGTGTTTTTAAATAAGGAATTCAATGGTACAATTTGTTTTTCCATACAACAAACTCACTGAAAAATTTGATAACATCAATGTTTAGGCCATTTTGGTTACAACTAAGAGCATGAGCATGTGGAGAGTCTTAAATAGATCAAGGTTTGATGAAACAAGTATGAAAACATCACACATAAATCATTTATAGTGATTGGATTAAGAGAAATCAAAAAATGTACACATAGTTTGACAGATTGGAATCAACATGCACATGATGACCTAGTTGGGCTTAGTTTCTGACCAACATTTTGGACAGTCAAGAAATAACAATTTCTGATGCAAATGGTGGTTCATACATGAAATATAGGACACATATAACACATTTAAATAATTTCTAACACAAAATCATGATTACAATTCAATATAGCATGTGAAATGCAAAGCAAAATTTCAAAGTTCAAGAATTTAGGCTTACCTCTTGAAGCAACCTTGTCAAATAAGAAAATCAGAGGTCCTTTCTACTTTGTTATAGTCTTAAAATGGTCTTTGAATGATGAAAAGAAGCTTCAATGATCCACAACTCCACTGTCACATAGAATGACTTGAAAAATGGAAGAAAACCTCAAAAATCCATGATTTCATAAAGCAACATGATCCAATATTTGTTACAGAAGTGCAAACTTGATTTGGACAACTTCTATGTGTTATTTATGAAGTGTTAGAGGTGTTAAAAGAGTTGGAAATAATCTGTAATGAGTTATGGCTTGAAAGATGCAAAATTTTGACTTTTTTGGTTTTGGAGGTTGACTTTGAGAAGGGAATGGTTTCTGGTGCAAATGGTGGTTTAAACAACTCTAGGGGATCATTTATAACTTTTGTGGAGTGTTGGTAGGGATTTGGAATGGCTGGAAAATGATTTGGCACAAATTTTATCCAAGACAGTTTTTGGAACTTTGACGTTTTGACTTGGTTTGCAAGAAGGTTTGCAACTGATGACAGAGAAGGTTTGTGGCTAGTTTCTTGGTTGCTATTGTGTATTTTTGATGTATAGAGGCTGTTGTATTAATAGGCAAAGCCATATGATCAAAAGTGAGGACAGATTTGGAGTTTTTGCTCTTTGGAGGGAAAATTGGAGAAAATTTATCCAAGATCTTGGTGCAACTAATCTTCAATGCTCTTGACTCATTGTGATGCACAAGAAAAGTTGTATGAGGGTAATGGA